CGAGGAGTTAACATTGAATTTAAGAAAAATATCGAACTGTACTCAGTATTGCGCGATGTAATGTTATGGTGCTCATTAATATCCTTGAAGTAAAATTTATTCTCCCTCTGTTTCGAACTTTTCAAATATACAAATTACTAAAACTTGCAGATCATAGCATTTACGGTATTGTCAAGTAATTCGTTTGAATTGTTTTCAAATTGATATCATCTTGATTCTGAGATTATTGTTCTTAACTGATAAAATATTTCATATTGTAAGGTGAGCCTCTAAAATCTGCCGTTGATTATTATTAACTTTGGATTAAATATTCGGTGTGCTCTACAGTGCAACCGTACACTGAAGCGCATATTTATTATTTTGAACCTGTGCATGTCTGAAATGAATCGTATGGTTTGTTATCTTCAGTGCTGTAATTCTGATTACCATTCTGTCAGTTTGTGCTTTAGGATATGGGTGACGCAGCATTTTGTGATTTTTTGTAAGGCAGTAGTTAACCTCTGTTGTTGCGAGATGACTGATTGAACAAGACATAAATCTTTGTTGGTATACATTTTCGATAGATTCTCTTGTAAGACAGACTGTGGCAACATTTTTGGTTCATTCATTGTTGTGCTTCGGGCGACTATCTGATATAGCGCTTAATATTCTGTTGTTCTATTCAGTTGAGGGCGTTTGCCACTGTTTCATGATATATAGCTCCTAGAGATTTAATCCCATTCGCATTTGGAGTTTTATACTATCCGAGATTCGCAAATTTTATTCCCGTAAATATTGATTATTTGAAGTCTCTGTTTGTTTAGATAATCACTTTTAGCTATTTCGATCTGGATTACCTCTGTTTTGATCTGCTGTATCTTCTGGTTTCCAGCACCTTTGCTGTAAGGCGTCGACGGTTGCATTGCAGAAGGAAATATTCCTCTTTGAAAGTAGATCTGCCTCTACCGTATTCCTCCATGTTCCAAGTTGCATGCTGGCCTCGTAGTCGACAGCTGCTGTTTTACGGCTCCCACACGAGATCCTCATTGGCTGGAGTAAATGATATATGCTCAGGCAGTTTGTCTAACAGGGCCAGCTTCCAATTTTTATTCTCCACATCTTCTGATGTCATCTGTTCCCGGAAGAGAGTGAAGTTATTCTTTACGTGGTCCTATAACTTTGCTCTCTTGATGCATCAAGACTAGCTCTTCTGGTTGCAGTTCCACCGCCGTTCTTGTTCCTTCTTTAGAATGTTATTGGGAATGTTAGGTAGGAGTGTGATACAGCGTTTTCTTAATAATAAAGCTACTGGTTGTCGAAATCTGCTTTTGTGCTGTTTTCCCCGTGCGATGATTTTTAATTAGTTGTGTGGTTAATTATAATGCAGGTTAAAGGACTTGCAGCTTGCACGGTTATGTCTCGCACGCCTTGACATGGCAACATCAGCGATTTTCAGCAAGTTAGACTTGCTATCTGTTTTCATCTAACGTTATCACAGTACAGTGGGTGCATTCCTTATCAGAAGATTAACAGAAAAAGTTTGCGCAGTGTTTGAGGAAGTTAAAACAGTAAGCTTAAAAATTCAGTGCGAACCATTAACTCTGAACTGCTTTACTCCTCCAAGAGTACACAGAATTAGTATATTGAGGTTATTCCCTAAACGCATAAAGAGATCGGTCATGTTCTGACTGTTTGTGCCTCGTTCATCTACCGTTTCGTATGTTTCGAAAACTTTCACGATCGAATAAGAGCAACTCCGCGGTCTCCTCGATTGCAAGCGATCCTATAATTTGGTCAGTACTTTTGTCATAATCGTCAACGGGCGAGCTGAGTATGTCCGAAATAGAACGGCATAGACAGTATAATTCGATTCGCATATGTCAATCATGTATTGTTACTTGTATTCTCTGTTTAGCTATCGACTTCGGTATATACCTTTTGAAAGGTATAGTCCTTCTGAGAAGTAAACAGCGAACTTCGCTGTCTTGCTGCTTCTAAATCCGGTGTATACCAAAAATGGCTGCCATGGATGAGAAGGCGATCAAACTACCAAAGAAAGCATCCAAGGTTCCTATTTTGCAGTGTGCTAATCTGTTTTTACCTCATTATTAAAACGAAAACTTTTCAGGTAAAAAACAAAGCACCCGCTCCAATCCAAATCACCGCCGAGCAGCTGCTGCGAGAAGCAAAGGAGCGCGATTTGGAAATTTTGCCCCCCGTAAGTGATAACAAGCTTCATTTGACGTCGATACTGTCTCATGGATTCATTGTAATGTTTCAGTCTCATATCTTTTACATATGGTTTTGCTATATTTGTTGTTCTATACATTCATTGGTTACACCGAACATCTGCCTTAAAAATTTCTCATCTTCCTGTTTGCTCCATTGTTTATTTTCTTGTTTCATTACGTCATTCCTTGTTACTGATAGTGGTAAGACTATTAAACGGCCACTTACCGCCAGTTCATGCGATTCTTTGTTCTTCATTTATTCACTGATTTATTTTCATGAAAAAACCTTTCGAACTAAAGTTTCGATTTGCTATAGCCTCCGAAGCAAAAGATATCTGATCCAGAAGAGTTAAAGGAGTACCAGTTAAAGCGACGAAAGGAGTTCGAGGATAACATTCGAAAAAATCGTGGTAACGTGCCAAACTGGATAAAGTACGCGAAATGGGAGGAGAGTCAGGCGGAACTACAGCGGGCAAGGTCGATTTTCGAGCGAGCCTTGGACGTTGACCATCGAAATATCAGCATCTGGTTGCAATATGCCGAAATGGAAATGAGGTAATGAAGTACATTTTATTCATTGTTTTTAACGCTTTTTTGTGCACTTACACATTTTGTTGGGTCAGAA